CAAATGGTGGCTTTAGCTGACAATGCTGCTATTGTTCAAGGCTACTCAGGCTCGATTGGTTGATTGGAACACAGCAAGTCTCGAAATCAAGGCCTTCTGTCTTTTCAATCCTATGAGCCTATCTCTCGACAATGTAGATTTCGTTTTTCCTTCTGCTTTTGGTTGTAAACCAATATTTTTTTTTCCTGGGCTTCGAGCTGCAAAACAGACACTCCACTGTAAATATACATATATAATGTATATATACTTTCTTTTGCAGAATATTGATTTCCTTTGTGCATTATGCGTATACATATTTTGATTGACTTCTGCGGTTGAACTATAATCATAATAGAGAGACATTATGACAACTCATGATCTATGAAGGCAAAAAAGGAAGAAGAAAATGAAGTTAGATTCATTTGAATCGAGGATACATTAGGAGATAACTATCGTGCTGAATGTGGGGGCTTTTAGGATATAGGAATATTGTTTACTTAGCTAAACTATGCCGTACAAGTAATATGACATTATCGATGTAGATAAAGTATTTGAAGGCCGACGTACCTAATAATTGGACAAAGTCCCTAGCAATATGCCAAATATCAAAATAACCTACAAAGTGTTATCAATAGTAATCTTTTGTTGGTATATAGCAATATATTAGTTAATTAGAAACTAAAAGTGCATACGTGGAAACACAAGCGAAAATGTAAAGTTGTTCTGAATAGGCTTTAAGTGGTTAAAAGTTTTTAGCTCACCACAGATAGTGGTAAATTGGACGAGGATTATAAATTGAATGCTTTACTTATTTTTCTTGATTTCGAAACCTCTAATCATCAGCATCTAAATATGATTTCATTTTCAGTATCTCCAAGTATTCATAGTCCGAAGTCCCTCACCCAAATTTTATTTTATTTTATTTTTTGTTTATTTCCAATATATATTACGACCAAGAAGTCAAATATTGGTCGCGTTCAGATGTTATTTGTGGTTGCATCAACTTTGCTTCGACTTAATTGTGCACATGACGGAATTGCTCACCTTGGTGCACATCTTTGAACCATTAATTGTCCAATTCCATGGAAAATTGGATCTTATCAGTGCGATTACTACGATCCTACTGATAAGGACATTGAACTTTTTTCAATTTTACAATCATTATATCTGGTCATTTTCAAATCGACCTAGTAAGTCGCAACAACTAGATTTGAGTTTTTCAAGATGACTGTACATTTTCCGTTTCCGACCATTTTTGGGTAATAATTGCATAATTTTTAAAGTTATTGGTTATTTATTGCACTTAGTAAAATTGATTGCTACTTGTCACACCGCCAAAATTGCAAAACCGCATCTTACAAAAGTTTGTAGAAGCTATTTTTTCATTACTAGAAAATGATAAAAGTAACACAATTTTAACATATCAATCGGCTAGGTATTAGGTAACGGTCCAATTTAGATTTAACCCGATGTAAAAACTATATTTTGGACTAGCAAGTAGAGGCTTCCAAATTGGCCACCTCTTATCGGCCTTTGGCTATTCTTTCTCAATAATGTTCTCAATGGTCCATAACCCCGTTCACACGCACAAATGAGTGCGAAATGAAGTAGTCACATGCACACAAAAAACTTGAAATAAATGTATATTTGTATGAATAAATCAGACGCAAGAGCGTGATGCTAATGTGATATTTGCTTTGTGTGTGGTCCTATAATTTAATCAGCCAACCTGTGGAAAAGCGTGCTGTCCATGTTGTACTTTTTCTTGAGTATTATTATTATCATAATTGTTATTATTATTAACCATTTGTGATGGATATAAGTGAGATGTGGCAGCGTGCATGATAGTATCTTTTTATATTGTGTGCCCCTTTTTCTTTTGTTAATTAATGAGAGCAAAGGCTCATTTTAGGCCCACGTGAGAAGGATTTTAGGCATATTGAATTTTCTTCAACTTTGTAATGTAGCACCTGTAATACTTCGGCGAACCGGTCAAAAAAGGCTAGCTCGGTAGAACTTGGTTCAGGTGAGCTCAGCTTGGTTCCGGTATGCATGTGTGGCATGGAGTTCGCTCAATCAACTCGGGATACAGGTAGATCCAGTTCAAGTAGCTTGTAGGTATGCGAATCTAGGGATCTCGAATATTCGATGAGACCTCATGGCCTTTAGGTCGTGTGGTGGAGTTCGTGTTTACGACCTATGTACAGCTCACAACAAAAAAGTACAGAGGTCGTGGTTACAACATGGGAGCCAAAGAGTTGTGCAGTATGAAGGGAGAGAATCCTTCATGGATGGAATGTGTATCTTGTTTAAGAGTCCTAAAGATCTTAGAGACGTGGCAAGTAAGGAAAGTAGATTCGGGAGGATCTCTTTCCTAACCGAGACTCTCATCGAGGCTAAGCTACACTAGGTATTTAAAGGTAACCAGGTTATTCTATCTCACCCATTGCATACGCGCATACTTTACGATTTTTAGTACTCCCTCAAGAAAATCCTAATTTGAGCGTCAGAGTGCTTACGCAGAGACTCCTCCCGGCGCTTTGTAGGTCACCAGAGCTTCGAGCTGGTAAGCGTGCGTGGAGGCTGCATGTTCAGCCCTGTTGTAGCAAATTATTTTTATTTTACCGAGCACCAAATCGAATGATTTGTTTCCCGGGTCGATCTCTCGAGGAAGGTGGTTCGGAATTTAGAAATGGTATTGATAACACAAAAAGGAAAATAAATCCTACACATTCTAATCACGATAGAATTGGAAAATTATCAACTAAGAAATAACAAAAGACGATAATATACCTAAAAATATAAACGACAAAAAGATAGACGAGCTAGGGTATCGGGAATAATCGCTTCCGGTTTCACACACATTTAACGGCGATTAATAACTCGGTTAAATGGTTCGACTAACTAACTCATTTAGCGGTTTAACCTCACTAACTCTCGTAATATGAGGATAAACATAAAAGAGCAAATTAACGAAACAATTAACACATAGACAATACGTCTCCGAACATGTCTACTCTAAACGAGCCAAATTCCACCAATTTCTCCCCTCTCGGTTTTGAAATCGATTATCTCTACGACTCCTCCTCTTTCGGTTCTAAAAGTCGCAATTCGTAGAATTAACAAACTCTTACTCAACAAATCAATATTCAATAACAAATCGAAGTGTCACTCTTCGATTATATCAACAAATTAACCTAAGTGTCACTCTTAGGTTATAATAATTTATCAAGTATGATTTTATCAATTCATAATTAAAACAACTCGTCAAGATTGAGCTATCGTCATGCACATAAACGAGAACAAAACCAGAATGATTATCCCTTAACCCTAACTAAAGGATTAGACACACATTGCAATTTGAACACAAAAATTCACATCAAAACAAGCCATTCTCAACATCATGAACACAATGAAAAAGAAGAAAGCTTACTAATAATGTACAATCCAATGTCAAATGCAAGTACAAACCAAATCCACAATGTCCAAGTCTTGAAAATGTTCTTCTCCACACTTGAAGAACCAAAGAAAACTTAAGAAAAACTAAAAAAAAGTGAATAGAGGAGATGAAGAATGAGAGGGAGAACCCTTCTATGGAGTTGTCTTTCTCTTCAAAGCTTTGCCATCTTTTATAGATGATTTCCCCCATTTTTCCTCCACATTCCAAGCCAACAATTTGAGGGAATCATGGTAAAATGTTCATGGCTCAAAACATGGAGGAGATGGCTCAAAACATGGAGAAATATCATATTTCAAGGGTCCATGGTCGACCAAACATGTCCAAAGTGGAGCACTACCCCCCAACATTTCATAATTTGAGGAAAAACACATTTTTTGCTGAAAACTGCACCTTAGCGCCGCTAAGGCCGGAGAGCTGGAAGCCTCTGGCGTCGCTAAGATTCCTCAGCGCCGCTAAGGAAGGTTGGATACGCGACTTTGCGTCTTGGGCTCGTCCTTACTCGGAATTGAGTTCCGTTTTTTCCTACGCGTCACTAACGAACCCTTCTATTCAATGATGCTTTCAAATTCAACTTTTGCCCAGAGTACAATACTCTAGGGTCTTCCAACCTTCAAAGGGTTGGTAGTTTGCTGGACTTTAAGTTTCGTCCCCGTTCGGATTCGTCCGAACTCGAAATTGAATTCCGCTTTTTTCCTATGTGTAGCTAAGGAACTTCTCTACGCAACCATGATTGCTCGGTTGATTTTCGGGCTAAATTCATTCCTCACGGGGATTCCGACCTGCACACCAAAGACAAGAAGAAAAACGTAGAAAACCGACAAAATATACGAAAAACACATCAAAAGCCAAAATAGACCAAATACACAACAAACTGCAAAACGAATCAAAAACTAACAAAAAGACCTAAAACGGGGGGAAAAAGAACGACAAAACAGTAACGAAAAACGTAACAAAAATGGTCACAACAAGCCCAGTTCAAGACATATTGCGCATCAAATTGACGTCGTATGTGGAAACAACTCTAGTCTTTTACCAGCTATAAGAGGCTAATCTCTTTCTCACAAACTGTTACGAGAAACTTTGAAGATAATACAGGCCAAAATTCCCAGAAAAAAATAGCGAATGATTTGGATGTGGTGTGGACGCCGCGAGTGCTTGGAACAGGTCGTGCTTCACCAGGATAGTCAGCGTCGGCCGGCGCATTGATCACACCACTGGAAACATTGCTGGCACCTCGTTCGGCATTGTCCCCAGTGCCAAACACCTCAAGGAGATCCCCGACAAGCTCAGGAGCCGGTGGTCACCCAAGGAAAGACATGAAATCAAGAGGTCCAAGATTTTGCAGCAGCTCAAGGCGCGGGAGCGCAGCAGCAGGAATATTTGGGGGTAGACCCTGGGGCAGCAAAAAGGCCAGTTGGTCGATCTTAGGGTCCAGGGGGTACCTAAGGGAGACAAGATGATCCAACTCACTAGGGTTGAGTTAGATCAGATTGTGGCAGAGGCTCTAGCTCGAGCTCGGGCACTAAACCATCCAAATCATCAATCTGTGCAAAAACCACAACCTCAAAGGAGGCAGGAGAAAGCTGAGGTTAGGTCGTTGTGGTCACCTTAGCATTTATCACGAGGAGCTGAGGGTCTCACACTTGAGCTGTTGGCAGCCCAGGTGCAAGAATTGCAGGCCCAAGTGGGGGACAAGGTAGCACCAGGGATTCATGGTCACTTGTTTCCTGAAGAGGTACAGAGGCACACTTGCCCAACAACTTTCACGATCTGAACTTATCTTATGATGGCTCAATAGTGTTGGGATCTATGAGGATCTCGTTATGTACAAGTTACGAATTCAATAACGAACGTAAACCTATGCGCAGCGGATCTAAAGGTTTGACGTTGAAAACTTACGGCTTAAAACTTTTCTGAATCTGATCAATTTGGGATGACCGGGAACAGCACGCGAACGGAAACTGGATCACACGAACGGACATCGAGATTGGGTCATGTGGCCGTGTTGATCGCGTCAGGTTGTGTTGCGATCGGGTGTCAGTCGGGTCGTCGCGAGCTCGCTGGCAGGTCGCGATCGGGTCACCAGTCGGCGGCGGTTGCTCCGGCTTGTCGGGGTCGGCGATCCTCGGCCTTCCGGTCGTGGTTCGTCGACTTCTGTAGACGATCACGTGGTCTCGATTATCTTCGGGACCTTCTATTGTATCACTCTTACACCTCTTCAACTTGTACCGGTGGAGTAACAAGAAGAAGATAATGCTCGAACCGTCTTCCTTTGAGAGACAACCCGAGTCGGATAACTCGGTTATCAACCTATCCCACTAGAAATCAACTCAACAATAGACGGTTGTGGCTTGACCTTTACAACCCAAATTTTACTTATTCATACTACATGAAGTTTCTGAGTTGATTTGGGATGTTGGGTCAGCCCACAAGAAAAAACCATAGCCTCATTTCTTCCAGGTCTTACAATCATAGAATCTTTTGCCAGCATTCTAACTTGTCTTCGATGTCCTCAATCGGGCCTTCATTCCACAACAATAAAACACTCTAGACGGAGAAGAAAATGAAGACGCTGACATCTTCGTGCTTCTCCTTCAATATTTTTGATAATTGAAATCAATTATTGAGCTTCAATTGACAGTGAAGATTTCTAGGGTTCTCGAACATATGACCTAATTTTTCTCGATGGAATGAGGGATTGGGAGTCAGATTTTGTGATTTCTCATTATTTGACACCGCAATCGAATGACGGGGCATCCACATATGTCACATTCTTACCTTAGGAAATACCACGTAGGGAATTACTGAAAGTTTAAATGCCACGTTATTACCTAATCTGGCCACGTCAGCATTTTATCCAAATGGGGTGATTAATGTATCTTTCTCGACCAAACTACATGTTTCTTTTTCATAGGGACAACTGATGTAGAGCGTAGTACAAATGGGCAGAATATGAGATACTCTCTCAAAAGAACGAACGATAAATTTTATTCAATTCCCTATCATCTTTGTCTCTCTCGTTCGTACATCAGAATAAATAAGAAAAGGAAAGATAGAGAAACCTAATCTTGTCAAACACTGCAAGATATTTATTTTCCTACCAAGTTTAATAAATAACTAAAAGAAATAAAATAAAATAGCACTAATAATAATGAGAAGTAAGCAGACTAAACCCGAAGTCTGTCATATTTATTTAAATATGCGATGGCGGTCTCGTCTTCATCATCCTCTCCCAGTTGAGGAGGATTCGCCCTTGAATCCGAACCGGTTTCGTCTTCGTCCGAATTGTCCCCCATAAACGGCACCAAGTGCTTAACGTTGAACACATCAGAAGTGCGAACATGAGACGAAAAGCGCAGACGATACGCATTCGGGTTAATCTTCTCAACCACATCAACCGGTCCAATTTTGCGGGCCGACAGTTTATTATACTCGTGGGTCGTAAACCTGTCCTTCGTCAACACGGCCCAAACATAATCACCCACCTCGAACTCGACATGTCGACGGCAAAGATCCGCCCGCCTCTTGTAAGAGGCCGTGGTCGCCTCCAGCCGGGTCGACATCGTAAACCGACAGTCCTACATAATCCTCGCCGGCAGCATAGTCCCCCACATCCTCTGTAAATAAGGCCCGTGTCGCCGCACCCTTCGGACAGACCGCCTGGCGATGGCCCATTTCGCCACACCCAAAACATTGAAGCCCGACAACTGCACGCACCGCTGCCGGTGAGAGTTGTTGTCCGTCTCCCCCCGTAGCCTGCTGGTAGGGCCCGCCTGACCTCGCCACACGCGCCGGTGCCGTTCCCTGGCCAAGTCCACTGCCCGTCGCCACCACTGGTCGTGCCGGCATCACTGTGCCTCCTGCGGATCCCCCTGGCCGCGACGACCACCCCGACGCCGCAGTCGTCTTGTGCGCGAGCTGAACCTCAACAAAAAGTGCCCGTTGGTAGGCATCGGAAACAGAGTCTGGGCGAAAAAGGTTCAACATATCACGCACTAACGAACGTAACCCACCGACATAGCGGGACACCAACTGATTCTTGGACTCCCGTAGCTTGACACGAGTGAAGAGTTTATAAAACTCGTTCGTGTATTCATCCACCGATCGAGATCCCTGTCTCAAGTTCTGCAACTGTTGATACACAAGACTATTGTAATTATATGGCACGAACTCACGCTCTACATATTTCCAAAATTTCGATCAAGATGTGATCTCCGGTTTCCCTAGACGATGTCGCATGCTCGTGAGTTGCATCCACCATGTTGCAGCTCTACCTTGAAAACGAGTAGCAACCAAAGCAACTCGCCTATCCTCCGGGACCCCCTTAAATCGAAGAACAATCTCAACCAAAGCCCACCACTCGATAAAATCTGAGACGTCCACGCCTCCTGCAAACTCCGAAATATCCACCCTAAACTCCGCTTCCCATCGTGACTCATCGCCCCCTTCTATCGGGCGCCTGCCGTCACGTTGGTACTGGCCAAATCGCTCAAAACCCTCACTGCCACCGTATGCTGCTCGTCGCGAAAAATCACGATCGCGACCGCCCCAGCCACGACTGCGCACCCCGTCGTCATCAAAATCCGAGCCTGTACCCCCGTCAAATTCTCCGGCACTGTCATCATCCTCGAACCCGTCCCTGCGATGAACCCTAGCTTCGCGCCCGCAAACTCACGATGCCGACGATGCCCGCCATGGTCGAGGCGCTGCTCCGTCGCAAACGGATTCTCGATGCTTACAGTGTCTTCGTCCTCCTCATCGCCGGACAGAGGCAGTGGTTGCTGTCGGCGTGGCGCCCTGCCAAAGCCACGTCCTCCCCTACCTCCGTGAAACCCTCCTCGCGCGCCCCGGTCGTCGGCGTCGCGGTTCGTACAAACCTCCGTCATCATGGTACGCATAGCCTGTTGCAATTCCTCGATCTCGTTGTCGATGTCAGTCAAAAGGTCATCCATCCCTTGAAATTGATCTTTCATCCTCTGGAATCGTTCTTCAACGATGTTGTCGTTTCCTCTTTTCGGCGGCATCGTGGATCGCTGCTGGTCTTTAGATATCAACTGATGTAGAGCGTAGTACAAATGGGCAGAATATGAGATACTCTCTCAAAAGAACGAACGATAAATTTTATTTCAATTCACAATCATCTATGTCTCTCTCGTTCGTACATCAGAATAAATAAGAAAAGGAAAGATAGAGAAACCTAATCTTGCCAAACACTGCAAGATATTTATTTTCCTACCAAGTTTAATAAATAGTTAAAAGAAATAAAATAAAATAGTACTAATAATAATGAGAAGTAAGCAGACTAAACCCGGAGTCGGTCATATTTATTTAAATATGCGATGGCAGTCTCGTCTTCATCAACAACATAATGTCTCGTTTATTGATACGCCCAACTTAATGTATCATTTTTGAAATTTTGTCAGTCGATTGCGTGGGGAGAATTGATTGATAGTCCATTGGTTTATTGTCGAGTGATAATTACTTGATTGTATTTTTCGAATTTGTGAGTGACTCATTTCCATCTTTGATTTTGGGGTACTTAATCATATATTTTTTTTAATTTGACGATTCTCGTGTGCTCGGTTTATAGTACTTGTTTCGGTTCAAACTTTCAGCTACGTACGTTCACTTCAGTATAAAACAACCAATCCACTTGCGAGTACAATGTTTAATACATTATTTTTTTTTTTTTGTTTTCGTGATCAATCATTTAATCAAATCTGAACAACTTTTATTCCGCACTCGTCTAATAAAACTGTAATCTAATTGCATTGCCCACAACTAAACTCAAATAACATCTCTAAAGATCAAATCACATACATGAACTTAGTAAGAAAAATGAGGGGGACCAACCCAATGGGCCTGCGGTCCTTTCCCGCCATAAGTATCAAACTCAGTCTCTCTCTCTCTCTCTTAATATTAATTAATAATATAAAAGTGAAGAAAAAGATGTATTAGAGGAACAATGGCCTAACTTGAGAAGCTTCCAGGAGTCGAGGAATATATGAACCTCATATTATATGGATCCATACCATCCATCCTTTCTCTCTCTACCCATATCGACATTTCTCTCTCTCTCCAAAAGGTCAACAACTGCTGAAAGAAATTAAAATACTTTGTACAGATCATCATCTCATATATAACTTGCTTTTGAACCGTCCTACTTTCAGTTTTTAGGGCTATATCTGTCCATCTCCCTTGCCTCAAATAGGACACCACCATC